CTGAATTGCCAGTTTTGATTTTGTGATTGTCCAGCTGACAACAGCTACTGCCAGCAGCTGTGAGTTAGCAAGATGTACCCAAGTCCACATAGTTCTGCACTCTTCAGCCTCAGTCATTTCTACTTCTACATCTGGGAGCTTTCTGTGATGTTGCATGATGGGAGGACAAACTTTTTGCTCAGACTCCTTTGTTAGAAGAAAAAGCTCATGTGAGCAAGGTGAAATGTCAATATCCTTGTCTTGTGGTTGGTGCATGAGTCTCATCCAGAATTGTCTTCGGTTCCCAAGATTGCTCATGTGGATAGCATATCCTCTGTAGGTTGATGTAGGTCGGCCTCAGGTGCCAAAGTCTGTGAGCCCAGCTGTTAAGATGTATCAGGCAAGCACTTATGCTAATGACAGGGTACGGTCAGTAAACCCTGATAACCAGTGGTCCTTTCCAGAGTGTTCATGGAGGAGGGTTGTCTCTGCTTATTCCCTCAGTGAAGAGATAGCATCGTGTCGCAGCCCGTTCCACATCCCACAGCAATGCTTCTCTTCCTGAATCTCACTTCCTGCCAGTGATGTTTTGGAGCCTGCTAGGCAATTTGCAGGTTTCTGTCAATCAAGAAAATTGAGCAAAACACTAAATTTTCATGTAATTAGAGCACCGGTATACCTGTATGACCAGCTGACCTCCCTTTTTGTGTTGGAGAAGGCCAGAACATGCCAGAGTGGGTTCTAGGAACACACCATGGGTAGATAACACAAGGCAACAGGCTGACTAAATGCTGATTGACACACTCTTAGCACCAAATACAGGTTCAAGCTACTTAACAAGGCTGCTGTTTTTCTCAGAGCTTCCTTCCTTCTCATACTGGAGAATGCTTCTGGTCCATTTTTTCGGAGAGTTGAACATTCTCCATTTTCCTCTCATGCAACAGACATGTCCCATTCTGTCCTATCAGTTGTTTATCTGCTGGTCATCATGACTTCAGAATGCTAATTTCTTAAAGGAAATTTAATACTTCCTTGAGCATCTGTCCTTTGAAAGTTCTGTCATTGGTCCAGAAACAAGAGTGCTCTCCATACTCCTACTGACCTCAGAGACCTTTTGGAAAACCTGTATTTCAGCGATTTCAGGCATGTTGAGCAGTATAAGTGTTGTAGTTCATGATTCATAGTTGCCAGAAGTTCTTTCATCCACCTTTCAACCTCAACCATTTAGAGTTAGACAGGTGTGACTTCCGTGGTATTGATATCACACAGTATTGTATTCCAGGGAAATGTCTACAAGCTGTTCAGGAAAGAGGCTGCTTAATGACTCTTGACCGGAGTTGCATTCTTTAGTGTGGTAGTCAGGCCACACCACTTAAGTTTCCTGCATTTTGTGGTTGGATAAGACCGTGAGCAGTTCAGGTTCATACTTCTTGGTCTGTATGATCTCCTGTGTGAAAGGGTTGGTGACTGTAACTGCTTGCCTTTGTCTTCTGCAGCTTTCTCGTCTTTGCTTTGATAATTAGCTAATAGAAAGAGAGTTAAGGATGCAAGTTCTTCAGTCTCTGTGGTTCTCAGAAAAGGGAGATTGTTGCAAGCTTTTAGTGGATATCCAGAACTTCCCTTCTCAGACCTAGGGTGTTCATCACATTCTTACTTGTGTCGTCTTGCTTACTGCCAGACAAGCGTTGCTCATTTGCTGTCGTGGTGCAGCTCATGACTTTCTGACGGATGTACAGTGGGAAAGGCTGCCTTACCCTGTCCTGTTTATGTGGTAGTTAATACCACTAAAAAGTCTGCCAGAGGTGTATGTCTGGCTAAATGACTGATTTCTCTTTTTGGTGCATTTATCATTCCAGTTCCTCTCTAGTGCCTCAACAGTAATTGTTTTTGAGATTCCTACTGAAGCTGGTGGAAGCTACCAAGCCACGGTCTACTTGACTGCCATTTTACCCATAAACCAGTTAGCTGGTTCTCAGGCTCTCTGACTGCATGTTTTTTAAGATGTTCTCAACAGGGTCAGCTCTGAGGTCAGACCAAGCTGCTTGGGGTTTCATCCAGTCTTGAAAACCCCTAGAGATGGAGACTGCACAACCTCTGTGGGCAACCTGTGCCAGTGCTTGAGTATGCAGTCTGAACCTCTCATTTCAAATTGTGCCTGTTTTCTCTTGTCCTCCTGCCATGCAACAACTGTAAAGAGCCCAGCTCTGTCTGCTCAGTGGCCTCCCCATAGGCACTGGGCAGCTGCTGGTAGGTCCCCCCAAAGCCATCCCTGCTCCAGGCTGAACAAGCCCAGCTCCCCCAGCCTCTCCTCACAGGGCAGGTGCTCCAGCCTCCTACCATTTTCGTGGCCTCTGCCGAAGTTGCTCCAGTTTGTCAATGTCTTTCTTGTATTGGGGGTCCCAAACTGAATGCAGTATTCTGGATGCAGTCTAATGAGTGTGGAGTAAAGGAGGTTAATCACTTCCTTCAGTCTACTAGCTGTGCTGTTAACACAGCCCAGGATGTTGTTGGCCCTCTTTGTTGCCAGGGCACACTGTCAGTTCACGTTCAGCCTGCTACCTACCACAACCACGAGTTCTTGGGGTTCACAAGCCTGTGTTGTGGCAAGGAGCTCGTCCTTCTGAGGTGCAGGATCTTGCATTTGTCCGTGTTAAATTTTTTTATGTTTTGTATTGGCTCATTCCTTCAGCCTGTCTAAGGGCAGCCCTGCCCTCCAATGTATCAGCTGGTCCATGCCCCTCCACCTCTCACCTGTGCCCAGTTTGGTATCATTCACAAACTTTATGAGCAAGTCCTGTTAAGCAGTACAGGTCTCGGGATAGATTCCTGCAGTACTCTACTTCTACTGGCCTCCAGGTAGAGTACAGCCCATTAACTACTACCTCCGAGCCTGAGTATCCAACCCATTTTTTGTCCATCTAGCTGTCCAAGCAGCAGACCTTAATGTCCTAACTTTGATACAAGAATAACATGGGAGATGGTGTCAGATGCCCTTCTAAAGTTGAGGTAAATGATATCCACTATCGTATTTGCCATAAATCCAGTGATGTTATCACAGAAGGCAACGAGGTCAGTCAGACATGATTTACACCATGGTGTACCCATTAGTGACTACATGGTGACTGTCACAATCACTTCTTATTCCTGTGCCCAGGAATTTGTTTCAAGAGGACTTGCTCCTTTATTTTCTCAGGGACAGAAGTGAGTTTGATTGGCCTGTAGGACCCTGGATTGTTCTTTTGACCTTTTCTGAACATGGGTGCAATATTTGCCTTCAGTCATCTGGGGATCTCAAATGATGACATTGATGCATTGACTGGCATGATTATTAAAATATGATAGAAAGCAGCCTTGCAAGGGCATGGGCCATTTCTCTCGTATCCTTGGATACAGCCTGTCTCGTTCCACAATCTCAGGTGGGGTGGAGTTCTTGCAGATAGTTGCTGACTAGATGGTCATCTACTGCTGATAGCTCTTTTCCTCCTTCAACCCTGCCTCTCAGCACAGAGACATAAGAGACCTCAGTGAAGACTGAAGCAAAGAAAACAATGAGTAACTCCGCTTTACCCGGTCCTCCTGCCACTAACCCACCCGTTCAGCAACAGGCCCACACTTCCCTTGTCCAGCTTTCTATTACTAATGTAACAGTAGAAGGCCGCCTTGTTGCCCTTGACATCCTCAAGTGGAGCTGAGCTGTGGCTTTCCTGACACCATCCCTACATGCCTAGGCAGTGTTTTTAAATTCCTCCTTTACAGCCTGTTCCTGCTTCCACCTCCTGTACGCTGCCTTTTTGCACTGGAGCTCGTCCAAGCCAATCTCTTGATACATTTACGTGTCTTCCTCGATATCAGGATGGGCTGTTCTTGCCCTTGGAGGATGCTGTCCTTGTACTGGCCCGTCCAGTGACGCTGACCCACAGGCTCTCACCCAGCCAGTCGCCCATCCCATAGCATAGCTCCATACATCTGAGCCGCTCCTTTACAGAGCTAGCAACCCCCTCCTCGTTTTTCCTGCTTGAAGTGTGTATCCATCCACTGCAACACTCCAGTTGTGTGAGCTGTCCCACCACACATCAGTTGCTCCAACAACGGTGTACTTGTGTGACTACACATGGAGCTCTTATTTCCCCTCCGTGTTTCCCAGGCTGCACACATTTCTGCACATACACTGGAGATGGACTCCTTCTCCCTTGTTTATACTTTCTTGAGGTTTCTCTTGTACCTGTTACCCTGCACTCTTTTCTTTCCACCCCTGTACACCCCTTCCTCACTTGACTATAGGTTGTCATCTCACTTTTCCAGTGTTCCTAATATAAAGCTTTCCTCACCAGATTGGCCAGGTTTTTGGCAAGGATGCTTTTTCTCCCCTTTATCAGGTGGATCTCATCTTCCCCTAGCAGTGCTCAGCTGTCAAAGAGGGTCCTGTGGGCATAAAAGCCAAATCCCCGTCGCTAACTCCAGTAGCAATACAAGGTGTTGATCTGCAAGATCCATCTGTTCCTCCATAAGCCTTTCTCCTTCAGTGGAGGCCACCTGGGTCTCCATGCCTTTGACCCTTTCCCCCAGAGCCATGTTGCTCTTGCTGCACTCCAGGTCAATAAATAAAAATACTAACAGGATTGCTTCAACTGTGATGACACATACCCAACAGGAGGAGAGGAGAGGTGAGAGCACTGTCCTCACGGACACTGGTTGGGGAGGCTTTCTCGTCTCAAGTAACAAAGCACGAGTATACCATGGTTGTGTACTACACCCCTCACATAGCGTTACCTGCTGGGATATGACTTTAATTGGTTTTACAACGAAGGCATGTCCTGAATCATTTCTGAATGAACCTTAGTGGAAATGTGGTGGGTAGAATCCATTTTTCCTTGATGACAATTAGGTGTCTTAAGCATAAAAGCATGCCTTTTTTTTGGACTCTGATTTAAGACAGTGCTTAAGCACAGGCAGCCTTACTGAACTTAAGTAGGAATTTCTGTTGAAATGTAATTTTTCACTCTTATTTCTCTTATTTTTAGGTATTTCAAATTATTGCGAAAGATACCGTGAAGGTATGAGACTTGTTCTGAACACCTTTGGACCAGTTCCAGCATTTTCAGATGAAACTGAGCAGAAAATCAGTCAGGTAAATATGAACTTGATAAATGCAGTGACATTCAGAACAAGAACATTAGCTTTTATTTTAACATTTGTACCCTTTCAGTTTACTGTTAGAGGTATCCATAGTCTGTATTTCTTGTGTGAATGTGTACAGAATGCATCCAAGTCCCTTTTCAAAGCACTTTGACATACATCAAGGGAAAGTGATTTGCAGGTGAGTAACATTATTACTTAGACAGAGGAGTCAACTGCTAACAACCGTGGGTTATTGACGTTAAATCCTCCACACTATTTCTTACCACTTCGGTCCAGTATCCTCTACCATAATATGCACAGCTCCAAGCTTCCTTTCTTGCGTGACTTTTCTCCCCATGTCTTCCTCCTACTCCGTCTTCCTGCAGAAACCCTATAGCTTTTTTCTTCTTGGTGTTTTTTTTCTTGTTTTTGTATACTTTACAGACTAGAGCTCCAGTCTGTAATGCATACAAATACACATTTAAGTTAAGCTTGTGAGCAGGCTGGCAAGGTTACTCGCATGTTTAAAGATAAGATGTGTTTAAGTGCTGTGCTGGATTGGGACCTAGTTTGTCTATTAACATTTCTAAGCCCACAATTTGTTTATAGTCATTATATAAGCTGTTTTGTCTGCCCATAGGAATTAACTGAAGTATTGTCATTTTCTGTCTCTGCCTTTTCATCGTTGCCTTTTTTAATGCTTCACTAAACAACATATGTATGTGTTGAATCGTTCCTGATCAGCTGTCAGAGATTAATTCCAAATGTGGAGGCAGTCTGTCTGGAAGATAGCATTTTTGTTCCTATTTATGTTAACGCAATTTCAACATCACCTATGTTAAAAAGGAAAGAGATTCTTTTATGCTTAAACAACATGAACTGCTTATAATAACAATCAATAATAATTGTGGAGTTATTCATGATTAGAAGCTTTTAATTAACATGAAACAGTTTGGGTTTCTTTATAGAACACTGGATTCCACTTCAACATCTGTTTCTGTGTCTCTGTTGTCTTCAGTCTTCAATGCCAAAGATGGGCTTGCAAGAATCCTCTCTTAAGAGTAAAACATTAAATGTTTCTTATCTTACTCCGCTGTCCCTCCCCCTGATTTTTTTCTGGAGTGACTGCAGCTTGCCAATCATCGGTAGCAGGTCCAGGTTTTACCCAGTTTCCCAACACTTGCCTTTTAAACCTAAGACCTCGGGTGCTATTTTGGCAAAGATGGCTTTGTGATCTCTACCTGCACTCTCAAAACAGCTTTTTTTCTTGAAAGAAAATCTCTTACGATGTACTATCTGGCCAGAGCTTACTACCTCTTGTTCTCCTTTCAGTGATACATTTAACTGGCACTTCTAAGACAACTTTGATTGTGCACTCAGAAATACTTTTTTTTTTTTCTATTTTGTTTTAAATACCATTTTTGCATGCTAACTTGTTCAGACTTCTACTTTTGTGTCCTCAAAGAGTACTGTACTTTCTCTCCCCTATGTTACAATAAACAACAAAAATAATAATTCTGGGTTTGTTATGTATCTTCCCCTGTCATTTTTATTATAATTGGCACTCCTAAGACAAAATGTTTTTAATAAACATAGTATCCCTCATTACATTTATTAGGAGCCAGAAGAGAGATCACGGCTTTACACAAACACACAGAGGAATTTGGTTAAAGCATATTTTCAGCCACATAAATGGCCAGGTTGCCTCCTTCCTACTTAATAAAAGGTTATCATCGAAGAGAGCAGACAGTGGCTGTGTGGGGCAGACCAAGAGAAGAGGCTGATGCTTTGTTGTTTCTGTAGGCACCTGCATTGCCACATTCAGGTTACAATTCCAGTCACCCATGTAAAGAATTACTGGCTTATTGCTTGTGATGGACTAAATTAACAGTTTGTGTGGAGGGTTACTTCGTCGGACACAGGGAAAGCAGGAAAACCATGCTAGCGAGAAACTTTTTATTGAGAACGTGAGATTTAATCATCTTAAATTTTCTGTTCCAGGCAATGTCTGAAAAAATTCCAGTTACCCCAAAAATCCTGGATGCCAGGAGAAAATGGAGAGATGAATGTCTCACTGGTCTTGCCAAACTGAAAAAACAAATGAAATCTGAGTGAGGTGCACCTTGTCTAACAGGAGAGACCAAATGAAGAGCAGATCTTCATAAAAAATGGAAATTTTTGGTCATGCAGAAGAGGAGACTGAATGTGCAACCAATGATGTGCCCAAATGCAGAGCCCAATGAAACATTTGGTCCAAATTTGTCATGATGTAATTCATGAATAACTGGAAACAGTTCTTCAAAAGTTCAGTTAAAATTTATCGAATTACTATATGTATGCATTAGATATGTAAGCATTAAGTAGCTTTAGCAACATTAATAATGTGCAAAGCAAGAACGCAATCATGTTTCAAATAATGCATTTTCAGCTTGCTTAGGAATTCAGCGCTTGAACAATATTTGCTTATGCAGGGATCTGAAATAGGCAAACATCAGCTGTTTGTCACTGGAGAAAATAAGTCCTCACCCGCCAATCACTGTGACAGCGAGGTTAATTTGTAAAGCACTGACTGTAGATAGGAGAAGGTTGTATTGAGCAAAGAGTAGGCTCAGAGCTGAGACCTCCACAGCAGTAAGGGTCACTTCAACTTCTATCTGTAACTGTTCCACAATGTAGGGGAAAGAGTTACTCCTCCTTTCCCTCCCTTTGGCACTTCTGTACCTGTATGATGATCTAAATGTGAGTAAATAGAGCAGAATTCCCCCCTCATCCCCTACCCCTGGTTGTGTAAGGCTTACCAGAGGCCTACTCGGTCTTTAAGACCACGCACTTGATACCCCATGGCTTTGTCCCCAGCTTAGTCAGATGTTGGATGCCGGCCATTGGCATTGCTGCATAAATAGTGCCCCATTTTAAGACTTTGTCTATGAGAAATAAGAGATTTTGATTTGATAGCTGGTTTGGGAGACTATGGTGTAGTGGATCAGTCTGGACTTTCTCCCAGGCTACTCCATGGCCATCTGAGTGATGCTGGGGAGCCAGCTCACCTCTCTGTTGCCACGTCTGGTTTGTACATTATCTGAAGCAAGGACTGCTTCTCTAGGACTCGGCTGTAGTGAATGTAACAGCTGTAGCAGAAGGGACGCCGGGTGCCTGCTACTTTGCTCCCCTACAGAGGGAAAGATGCAGTGGCTTAGATGTAGCATTGCTGCTTTACTGCTGCCCTTCCTACAGGAGACACGTCTCCTCCCCGTACCGGGACGCAGTATACACCTGCACGTAGTAATATCCGCAGTTGCTGCCGTGGCGTGTTTCGGTCCCCGGCGGACACGGTGTTATTATGAATGTACGTACCCTGTCATGTAGTTGGACTTTGATCTTAGCTGGAACCTTGGGGTGTTCTTGTTCTGCAGGTAGTACCAATAACTTGAAACTGCGTTGTACCCACGCGGCTGGAGTTAAGCATTTCTGAATTTGTCGTGTAACTTCAGTCACAGCACAGATGCAGTTTTAAGCTGTCATTTTGCTAATGCTCTTGTTTTTTACAGAGAGTGCAGCACACAAACAGGTTGCTGAAACTTCTTTACTTACCGTTGTGAGCTGAACAGCAGCTACGTCTGCCTGAACATACCAATACTGCTTAATTCTGCTTAGGTCGCAGTAAAAGAGACCTAAGATCGATTGTATGGCTTGACACAAGTGGTGGGCCAAAAACACATCTCTGGATGTGGAACGTGGGATGGGAGGCATAATGCAGAGGTCGTCCTGTGCTCCTTTATAATCAGTGGAGAGACAGGAAAAGTTGTAAGCTGTATTTTATTCCAATATAGACTCAAAATTGTCAGGTTCCTTCTATTGCTTTTTATTGCCACAGCGACTGGCTCAACATGCATTTAGACATCTGAAGTTGGGGAGGTCAGTCCTCACTCCCGATGCCTTATTAAGCAGTAGTAAATTAATTATAGGGCTGATTTCCTCGTTTTATGTATGTTTTTGTATTTCAGGCAAGGCCACAGAAGGTTCCAGTTACTTTCAAGATTAGACCTGTTTTCCTGTGAGTGTGTGACATTGTCATAACTAATTAGCTCGCATTGCTTCTGTTTATTCTGAGATATTTTAAAACTCGATCATGTCATCAAATATTGGCTTCCATCTTTTTTATTTGCTTATGAATAAAATGTTTTAATGAGGAAAGCATTAACTTCTGTGCTCCAGTGTGATACTGTAGTGGTAGCACTACATGATATGTCTTTAGAAACCAGTGCCCTGGTGGAAAAATTTGTGGAAGTCAGTGGGAGTAAATAGACAAGAAATAACATGCGCTCTCCGATGGTTTATGTGTTGGTGACCAGTTGCGGCAGGCGCGGGGCCCTGCTGTGAGGGAATGGCTTTCCGCAGGGGGAGAAGCAGTCTGGAGAGTCCCAGAGCACTTCTGCGTGGGGAGCAGCTCCTCCACAGGGCCTGGCACCCGGCAGAGCTCGCCTTGGAGCATCACTTCCCCCCCAGGTTCACAACTACAAGGCGGGGGTGAGTGGGGACGGATGATGCGTGACAAAAGATGTATTTTAGCTGACATTGGCTTAGGATTTGAAGCACACAAAATTTTTAGTTGGTAAATGCAACAACAACTGGAAAGCGTTAGGAAAAGGTAGCTAAAGGGATGAGATGGGCTGTCCCCATCCCAGGGACCTGTACCCTGCTCACAATTAATCCCCTTTCCTCATCAGTTGTTAGGCTGTGTCTGAATCCTGCGCCCAGCTTAGGGCTCCCAGTACAAGGCAGAGTCTGGACAAAAGGTAAGGGAGGCCCCTGAGATGGTGGGGCTGGAGCGCTGGTCCTGCGAGGGGAGGCTGGGGGAGCTGGAGCTAGGCTTGTCCTGCGTGGAGCAGAGGTGGCTCTGGGGGGACCTACTAGCAGCCCCCGGTGCCTGTGGGGAGGTCATCGAGGAGACAGAGCCAGGCGCTCCCAGTTGGGGCTGGGTGAGAAGACAGAGACAATGGACACAAGCTGAAACACAAGAGTTCCAGCCTGGAGGTAAGGAGATGCTTTTTCCCCCGTGAGGATGGTCAGGCAGAGGCACAGGTTGTCCACAGAGGTGGTCCAGTCTCCGTCCTGGAAGTTTTCAAGTCCCGACTGGATGAAGCCCTGAGCAGCCGGGTCTGAGCTCAGAGCTGACCTGCTGTGAGCAGGAGGTTGGAGCAGGGACCTCCCGAGCTCCCTCCTGGCCTGCTTCAGCCCGATCCCAGCCTTTGTTTGGTCTTGGCCTAGTTTGTGTCAGGAATGTTGCTCTGGCTTAAGTCAACTGACTCCAAAGAATGTATGTAAATTAGTTCAAATCATCACATATGTGGAGGGGACTTTGTAACCTAAATTGTAAATTAAATTTAGGATTGTTAGGATTGTCATTGTTTAAGGCTGTGCCGGTGCTTAAAGCGGGTG